GGTCTCGAGGGCGGGGATGCACGAGGCTTAATCGTAGTGCCAGGCGACGGCGGGGTCTGCGGGTGATAGTGTGGCAGAAACGAGGACGGGGTATTGGGATCGGAATCTGCCCTGGAAGCCCCATTGTTGTTCACGATGAACCTGGAAACGCCTCCCTCGATCGATGATGAAGTTGCTTGTGTGTGGTTTCCGGGGGTACTTGCTAAGGCGGGATTTGGCGAAGGCAACGTGCGTCGGGAGCCATCTTGACCAGCTTTCAGGCTATTCAGCGAAGCAGTACGTGAAATGGCAGTATCGATAGCCGCCGGTTTGGCCATGGCGGATATGGAGGACATGGCGGGGGGAGCTTTGGCCGAAAGCGCCGGACTGATAAGACGAGATGCGATCGCACTGGGTTCAGGTACTTGACCGGCTTCTTGTTGTTTGTTATCTTGTTGCGACTCTTGCTGTTCCTGAAATCCCTGCCTCTCTTTCTCCTCGTGCTGTGGTTCTTGTCCCTCCTCGTCGTCCGTTGACTGACCTTCCTGAGCGAAAGTTTGGCTGGTCGGCTCCGGGAGACTGGTCGCTCGCGGTATTTGAGGATAAGGGCGCTTGACAAATATCAAAGGATCCACTAGCGCTGCAGCGTTCTCCACGCTTCCCTTGGATTGTGCAACGGAACTGCGCCTAGTGCTTTCGGGCGACTGCGTAGTATCCTCCCAGTCACCGTCGTCGTTGTCCGAATCTCCGATCTCGAAACCCACCGTTTTCTTCTTCCCAGAACTCGAGCGGGGACGGTCGGTACTAACAATTGATTTCTTGCTGGGAGCTGTACCTGTAGACGTATATCGTCGCAACGCGGGACTCGAGTTATTTTTCTTCATCGACGTTGCCGGATTCGGATCTTCGAACTCAGCCTCCTCCCAGCGCACGTGGGGACCACCGCGCGGGGGACTCGCAGCGGGTGTCGCGGGCGCAGACTTTTTGCGTTGATGATGACGGACGGGCTCAGCTCCGGAAGTGAGTCGCTGTAATTTGTTGACGTTCTTTCCGTAGGAAGGATTGCGATTGTGGTTGTGACGGTGGCCGACGAGGTGCGGGCGAGGATGATGATGCCGGTGCACGACGTGGGATTTTGGGTCGGACGAATCTCCGGTAGTTGAGGTCGAGCGCGTGACAACGGCGTGAGAGGAAACTGCACGGCGCCCCAGGCCCGGGCGCTTGACGGGGGAAGAAGTGGCATTGGAATTCGGCATGACGGTGATTAATCAAAGAAAAACACGCCGTCTCGAGAGTGGCCAGGCTGCCAACTAGGTGCGTGGGTGAGTCTGTCTTGTCTCTCTCTGGGCAAGGCAAAAAACTCCGAGGAATGCGCGACGACTCAACGAACCGCGAGTGGGCCAGGGATCACCGGCGCGAAATATGGAGACCGAGGTCTAAGGAGGAGAAGCACTGGGGGAGGAGATCCAGCAGAGCGGTAGTGGCCGTAGCAGGAGCTGTGCCGTAGCAGTAGTGACCCTTTTCTGGGGAAGCCGTACAGAGCAAATAAGCGACGATAACCAGACCACAGACAAACGAACGAAGCGATGATGACTATGCTTCTGGAACTGTCTTGTCTTATGGCCGAGAGTCGGAGCGCGACGCAGGATAATTGGAGGAAAAAAAGACCGAGAGAACGACACCACGTGAAGACGGAGGTAATACAGAGTACAGTGAAACAGTATAGTTACTTGTAACTGATGAGAATGAAGATGAAGATTGATGAGGATGAGAAGAAGGAAAAAAGACAAGAGAGAAATTGAGGATGAGGACAGTGGAGGAAGAAGAAGAAGAAGAGAAAGCCTGGACCAGAAAGAGGCCTGAGGAAGCTCTCACCTTCACTTTGGCTCGACCGCAACCGGCGGGTTATTAATTACGCGTTAAGACGCCACAAAACGATGAAAGTGAATGGGAGATCTTTGCCTTACAAGTACTTGAGAAACAATACGGGTGCTTTATCCATACCAATCACCGTTTGTATACACTGACTATCCGTAACAACCAAGTCTCTTATTCTGGTATCATACTATATAAGGAGAGTAACGCCGTGGCTCAAGCAAAAGATAAAAAGGACAAAAGGACAAAAGGACAAATAAGCACTACAGCTCGATCAAGCTTTCCTCCACAGGCGGTCGAGACGCTGCAGGTGGTGCATAGTGCGTGCTTGGTGCAGAAACCGGCGAAACATCCGCCCCAGTAGGATACGTGCCACCCTGTGATTGGAGTGGATATGCAGACGGCACAGGTGCCTGCTGTTGCGGCTCATGCTGCGGCGGTGGTGGATAATAGTAGGATTGCTGCGCTTGTTGTGGTGGCTGCTGCTGCTGAGGAGCCGGTTGCCCACTCATTGGCATCGGAGGAGCCTCTGCGTACTGCTGGTACGGGTACCCAGATGACTGCTGGTCCGTAGATGGCGGCTGCTCTGGTGCGCTAGGCACTGGTGCCGAAGGGTACCCGGATGATGCTGGGGGGTATTGGGGGTATTGAGAATCCTGATGCTGCACCATAGACGACGGCTGATACGGCGTGTCCGGCTCCCCTGGTGGTCGGAAAGTGTAGTCTTGCCCTGGCAGCGTTGGTGCCGTATAATACTGCGCTGGAGCTGCTTGGCCTGAGTATGGTGACTGCATCGGATTGGAAGGTGGCGGAGAAGCAACAGGAGGATATGTGGTCCCATTCCAGGAAGCCGACTGAGGGGGCTGCGGGTAGACACTAGAGCTCCTGGTATGACCAGTGCCATCAGGGACACTCCTCTCGAACTGAGGCTGTTGCGCATACGCTGTAGCAGACGGCGGTGGCGCTTCGGCAGTGGGTTGTCCATAGTAGAAGTTCTCCAACCCAGCCTTTCCATCGGAACCAGAAGGAGGGGGAGGCATGGAAGGGTACACGCCAGGGTATTGCCTTGGAGGAACAGCCCCATACCCTATTGAGTGTTGCGAATATGCATTCGACAGGCGATCCTCCAACATACGGTCGTAATAACGAACCACCGTCGACAATTTGCCATGAAGATCAAGGAGAGTATCTAAGCACGTTGTGTCAACAATTTAATGTATTACATCGAAATCGAAAAAAAAAAACTTACCATGCTTGCTCATTGTCTCACCATAGCTCCTTGCAAGCTTCGGTCGAAGAGATCCGATGCTGTCATACAACTCTTGAATCTGGGGTTCTCTGAGAATGGTTCCGGGCGGTTGATGTTGCAGTCGGTCGACCAGAGTAGCAAAAAGATGGATATTCTCCGCCTCCACTGGGCTGAGTTCGTACGGGTTCTTAGGCAAAGGCGTTGCCGCACTCGGTGTGTCTTGCGCAGGAGGCTCCGTAGTGCGATTCTTCAAAGCCGCAGCGTGTTGTTGTTTGTGTTCTTCCATATCCCGCAGAGAAGCCTCAATAGCAGCCTTCAGATCCGCATCCTCTTCCTCCTCGACATTTGGCTGGGCAGCTGGAGGCTGGACCTCGGCGAGTTTGGCCTGTGGGACATAGCCTGCGGAGCCCTTGTTCTGAGCCTCCTCCAAGCTCATTTCCAATGCCCGACGCAAGTCATCATCAAAGCCACCTTCCGCCCTGGCTGTTCGAGGTTCCATCGCGTTAGACTTGGTGATAGAGTTGTTCTTGAAGGAGGATCGATCCGGAAGGTAAGGTTGCGGGAACGGTTTCGACGTCAACCTCGCATAACACCCATCATCAACGCGCACCGGTTGTAGTATGCCCAGATGGGGCAGAGGAAGGGATTTACTCGAGCACTGAGCGTCAAATACGTTGCCGCAATTCCGGCAGTGGTGCTTGCGATTCATAAAACTGAACGGTGTCCGACAGCGCATACAGACGTCCGAATCTATCCATTCTGGAGGCTATAAAGCAAAGTCAATGTCAGTGTCAGTGTTCAGGGATTTCCCAATAGAACCTGAAACATGAAAGAAAAGACCTACCGCACTGCTTTCCAGCATGCTGCCACTGATTAGAGACTTAGGAGGGAATGGGAACCCCTCGTCCTCCAGCTTCCGGTGAGTATGCCCAACATATGCCAAGTCTATACGCCCTTGTGCTGCCATCGCCCAATCCTGGATAAGCGCCAGCATCTTCTCTCTCACGTCGCTGTTGAGCGGGGCGCCTTCCGCCTTGAGGAGCGATACAAGGTTATCCATAAACTCGCGTGATGCGATTTCAGCAAGGAAATGTGTGCCCCCATTCTTCACGCACGTGTCTGTCAACTAAAGCAAGATAACCCCCAATTAGTATGCCAAGCATAGCTGTTATCGAGAGAAAAGAGCCAACCTTCAAAGTCGCTAGTTGTATGTTCGGATTCCGACTTTCTAACCGTCGTTTCAACGCTCTCATCGCCTCCTTTGGCTGTACACCTTTCGACCGGATGAGATCCGAGATTTCTAGATTGAGGGCGATATCTTCCCTGGAAAAGAGAGGTTATGTTAGGACCCGCCCTGATATGGGGAAATCTGATCCAATTGCGGAACATGACAATCACATGTAGACAAACATACAAAGAAGACGATGTAGCCCGCTCGATCCGCTCATCGAGCGGCGAAGTCGACGAGAACCAACTCGCCATGGTGACGGTGACGAGAAGTCGGATGTAGTTGCAATTGTAGCGAGAGACGTTCTGATAACGGAGGAGGGGATGATCGCTATGACGTTGGGCAGGGACCAGCCAGAAGGGGAATCAAAGAGAGAGAATACTTGCAGAAACCAGATAAACAATAGAGACAAAACAAAACTAAAGGCAAGGATATCAAAGAATCAACAAGAGAAAAAGCAGTCGATGTTTGGGGCCAAACACGAGAGCGACTGCGATGAGTTGATGCACAGCTCCAGGCAGATCAACGAGGCGTACATATTACATAAGCCACCACATTCACCGCCCAACGCACCGCCACACTTGGGCGGTGAGTAAACAGTCACATGACTTACCCCGGACCATAGCCACGTCCCGAAGGTGGACTGAACAGCAACTCGTCCTTATTATTCTGTTCTGTTGCTTTTTGGTTTTTGCCTGTGATTTACTGCATTACGTTGCTTGGCTTGGAACGATTACAAATACTTCTTGTCACTTCTTGCGCATTTGTGTGGTTGCCGTTCGCAATCTCCTACGTACTCTCCCCCTCCGTCAATCGCTGTGCCGTCCTCCGACCCGACCTTGGAATATCGCCGCCTGCTCGATACCCTCGTTTAAGCCCAAAGAAGAGTCGAACGATGCGTTGAATGGTTTCATAATACTGGGAACATGTCCTCCGATGCAGCGACTTTACCTTCGCCGCCAGATTTCGCGCAGTGGGCGAGCAACAATCGCCCTCAATCAATTGTGAGTGGCATGTACTCGAGCGGAGGGCAACCGGGTCGGTTCTATGGGAATGGCAACAACAACTCTCCACCGGCTGGGGGTGGACCGCCTCGGTTTCCGAATATTAAGGATCTCCAGGACGAGGCGGCATCGCTGGATGTGAATGGGATTACTCCGGTAAGTTCTTTATTTGGGCTATAATGTACTTGGTGCGGGGAATGACTGGGAGGTGCTAACTTGGCTTATAGTTGAGTATATTGATGAAACGAGCATACGAAGCAATTGAAACTGCGAAAAGCCTTGCCGATAAGGACAAGCCGGATCAAGCCTACGTACATTACCTTCGCGCCTCCGAGATCACCGTCAACATTATCCCTCATCACCCCGACTACAAAATGACGGTCAATCAAACACCTGGATGGTACAAGCAGTTTGCAGATTTGATGATGGTAGGCCTCACATTGAGAAAAATGACCACTTCTTGTGTGGCCTTGGCTGATTGGAGAATATAGGCAGTGCGGACAAAACAAGGAACAATGGACGAAATCAAGAAACAGATAATCCAGGATAATCTCGTGAGCAACGTCCAGCCCTCGAGGGAATCTGCGACAAACTCCCCGGCTCCTAGTGGCAGTTCAAGAGGTCGACCGGAGGATTCAAGCAGCAGTTCAATCCGGATGCCGAGCCCGTCAGAATACCAACGGTCAGCTATGCAAGCCAAGTTGAACAACAACCGGTTTTCCGCGCCTGCGGAAGATATGCTAGCGCAGAGGTTTGCCAGATTAAAAGCGACACCATCCGCGACAAATAACCAGAACTCCATGGCTGTCGGACAGAATGGAGCGCTGGCTATGCCGGCGGCCTCAGGATATGTTGACAATTATCCCCCACGACCATCATCGAATCTTTCCCAAACGACCGCTCCATACCCTCCCCCTGTTCCTCCGCGCCGTCCCCTTGGCCCTCGGAGTATGGGCTCCTCCCCCAGCGTACCCACACTACCACCAAAGATTCCTCTAGACACCTCGCTGCCCCGCGCGCCGGATCCAGCGTATAGTCCGATATGGACCGTGCCGTCGCAACCACCCTCGAACCCCCCGCGTACTTCGACAGAAATTTCGCGTGCCAACAACTCAAGATATTCACATCTGGTTAATTCTCCTAGTGCTAGTCCTAGCCGGAACAGCTTATATGATCCATATCGGTCTCAGACACCCAACGGTATACATCCGGCGAAGAGCAGCACGGCCGACCTGCCACATCGACCAGCGATTGAGGCACAAGAGCTACTCGACTATCTACGAGAATACAACATTCTACTGATAGATGTCCGTCCACGGGACCAGTACGACCATGGGCATATCTACGCCAAATCGGTAATCTGTATTGAGCCCGTCGCATTGAAACCTAACGTGTCGGCCGAAGAGCTAGAGGAGCGGCTCGTGGTGTCGCCAGAACATGAGCAGCCTTTGTTCGAAAGACGGAATGAGTTCGACATGGTTGTTTATTATGATCAATCGACGGACTCGGTCAGTTACCTCGCCGGGTCGCCAGTTGGGACTTCAGCGCCTCATCTGCGGGCGCTTCATGACACTCTCTACGAATTCAACGCCTACAAACCATTAAAGGATGGGCGACCTCCAGCACTGTTACTGGGAGGCCTGGATGCGTGGATTGATCTGCTTGGACAGCAGTCGCTAGCCACGTCGTCGACAGCAGTCGTCATGGGATCGATCCAAGCAAAGCGGCCTGTTCGCAAGCCGGGGCGACCTCTAGGAAGAGTGCCAACCGTGGTGAGCGCGAATTCCAGTCTGGAAGTGCGAAAGAGGCGGCTTCGCGAGTACAAACCTCTCAACCCCGAGGAGCTCACTGCGTGGATGGAGAAGTCGAAGAACGAGGAAATTGATACGGTACAAGAGGAGGAAGAGCCTCTAACCGAAGAGCCGGAGGAAGTAGATGGCGTTGAAGAGAAACCTACAAGTTCGCCGCCGTCGCCATTCGTACATACATATGAAGATTTCTTACGCCGGTTCCCGGAGCCACATGCGATCCAGGAATCGATGACTGCGCCCCATACTCGACCACTGGCACCACCTCCCCTGTCCACCTATGCGGCTCCTCAAGTTCCACAAGCGCCATCGCGGCCTCCACCCGCCGTGCCCCGGCCGAAATACAGTGGGGTGTCGGAAGGACGACAGATCCAGCCGCCGCTAGAACGACAAAACTCGGCGAATAGGACAGCACTATACCCGTCAGGTCTGAACCGACCAAAGTTGCCGCGAACGGGGCTGACGAACTTTGGCGTCACGTGCTACATGAACTCGACACTGCAGTGCCTCAGCGCGACGATGACGCTGAGCAAGTTCTTCAACGACAACCGGTTCCGGATCTATGTACAGAAGAACTGGAAGGGATCGCAGGGGGTGATGCCGGGGTTGTTTGCGAATCTGATCCGGTCGCTGTGGAGGGGTGATGTGCAGGTGATCGTACCGACATCGTTCCGGAATTTCTGCGGGCGGTTGAACCAGGAATGGGCGATCGACCGCCAGCAGGACGCTAAGGAGTTCTTTGATTTCTTGGTAGATTGTCTGCACGAGGATCTGAACATCAACTGGCAGCGCACGCCGCTGCGGCCGTTGACGTTTGCCGAGGAGATGCAACGGGAGCGCATGCCGGTCCCGAAGGTGTCGCGGATCGAGTGGGATCGGTACTGCCACCGGGAAGAATCGTTCATCTCGTCCTCATTTGCGGGACAGCACGCGAGTCGACTACGATGCACGACGTGCCAGCGCACGTCGACAACATACGAAGCATTCTACAGCATCAGCGTGGAAATCCCCACGTCAGGCACGGGGGACATCTACAGCTGTCTACGCAGCTACACGCAGGAGGAAATGCTAAGCGGCGACGAGGTCTGGAAGTGCCCGTACTGTAAATGCGAACGAGTCGCAACGAAAAAGATAATCATCACGCGAGCGCCCCAGATCCTCGTGGTCCATTTCAAGCGCTTCTCCGCCTCAAAAACACAGAGCGCACGCAAGATCCACACACCAATAGACTTCCCGCTGTACGGATTAAGAATGGACCCATTCGTGATATCCTCGCCTCCTCCCCTATCTTCATCCTCTTCCCCAGAACCAGGCCAGCCCACTCCGACCCCGACCCCAACCCCGATGGGAGCGACCGTGCCCCCGTTCACATATGACGCATACGGGGTCCTGCGCCACATCGGGCCGTCAATGGGTAGCGGACACTATATCTCGCTCGTGCGGGATGCACAGCGTCATTGCTGGCGGAAGTTTGACGATGATCGGGCGACGGACTTTCAGCCGCGCGAACTGCGGCATAAGGAGCGGTTGCAGAACGAGCAGGCGTATATTGTGTTTTACGAGCGGGTTCCTGCGAAGTAGATTTGTCATTCTTTTTTTTTTATCACATTTGTTTATATTATGACCGTGATGGGCTTGGTACTAGAGGCGTTGGATATTTTTTGATTTCGGATGTATTATGAGCATTGACGAGTGACGAATATGCATGTGTTATCGGTAACTGAACATAGTCAAATGTACTGAAGAGTACGAAGAGAGTATATAATTCCGCGCGGGGTCGATGGTGGATGATAGACTAATCCCGACAGCAGGAACCGGGGGGAGGCCGAGGTTAAGAACGGTATTATTGCACGGATAAACTGTATGCGGACAGACATGCCAGATGTAGATACTGGGGAGACATTCTAATAAGCCCGGTTTGATTGGCACCGGGCAGAATCAGCGGATAGACCGCCGGCAATATCTCACGGTCTGGATCGGCAGTCTTCTTTTCTTTTCCTTTCTCTTATTCTACTTATCTTACTCTCTCACACACTCTCTATATTATTACTCTGTCTTGATATCTCATCTATCTGTTTTCTGTATATCCCATTTCTTGAACCCCTCCTCAGTTGTACCCGTGAGTTATACTACTATACCCCTGATCGCGATCTGGCCAAATAAACATCTCCATTCCCAACAATCACTAACACCACCTGTCATCACCACAGTCCAATAACTCCTACACAACACAAACACCACAATGGCCGACAAAGAACTCACCTTCGCCGAGGTCTCCGAGCACACCACCAAGAAGGACCTCTACCTCATCGTCCACGACAAGGTTTACGACTGCTCTTCCTTTGTTGACGAGCACCCGTAAGCTCCCACCCAGCAACCCGATTGCGCCCTACAATACACAATAAAAAGAAGGATGCTAACGGCAACAGTGGTGGCGAGGAAGTTATCCTCGATGTCGGCGGCCAAGACTCAACAGAAGCCTTCGAGGATGTTGGCCACAGCGACGAAGCCCGCGAATTGCTCGACGGCATGTACGTCGGGAAGTTGAAGAGAATGGTACGCCCCCCATCACCTCCCCTCTTTTCCCTTATACAACGCAATCTATATCCAGAGACTAATAAATGCGACAGCCCGGCGACCCAGCCCCCAGCACCCACGGCAGCTCTTCGTCCTCGTCCAGCGGCAGCTCGGGCTCTGGTCTCGGTCTCGGTCTGTACGCGTTCCTTTTGCTCGGTGGTGCGGTTGCCTACGGTGCCTATCAGTATCTGCAGAATGCCGCCGCTGCTGAGAACCAGCAGTAATTTTATCTTGAAAGAAAGAGAAAAAGCATTTTTATTTTCCCGTTCATATTGATCTTGGGGGTTCCGGTCTAATTTAGCATGGGAGTGTCGTGTCGTGTCTCGCCTGCGCATGCGATTTTCTTATTTTATGGTTTTATTTGACGATTTTTACTACTTTCTTTTCTTTACTTTTTTTTTTTTTTTTTTTAAACTAGCTGGTTGCTGGGTGATATCCAAATGCAGACAAGACAAGACATGCTGTCCTTTTCTTTTTTTTTTGATTTCTTAGCTACGGCGACGTCTCGGTGAAAAGAAATACAATAGAGCAAGTGAGAAAACCAACATTTAGGTCCCCCTTTTCTAACCCATTCCCTAAAACAATGCGATGGCATGATTCGGCAATGTCGCACGATACGGCCGAGGTCCCAATGTCACCAACACTACAGTAGGACAGACAGCCAGATTGTCAACAAAACCAGTTAAAAGTCATAGGATTGCAGAAACGCACTCTTTTATGCCAATAAACAAGTCTATCTAAAGCAAAAAAGGTACAAGAATGGAATCAAAGAGAAAAAGATAGCTAAATCACATGAATAAATATGTCGTATATAGACTTTTTCAAACGCGCAAAGAAAAGAAATGCCAATCATCAAATCACACTGATCGAAAAGATTAACGACCAGCCAATCCAGCCGCAACGGCTTCCAGAATCAACTCCTTAGCTTGCTCGACGGCGTCCTTGCTTCCCTTGATTTCGATCGCTTCGCCCTTGGTCTGGTCCTTGGGCACGTTGATCCGGCAGTTGGTCTTCTTGCGGATCGTGTTGATCTGGCTGCCGCCCTGGCCGACCACGAAGCGGTAGGTCTTGGGGTCGGGCAGGATCAGGTATCCTGTCGATGATTGCTGCGAGGCGCTGGAGATGGCCTTCTCCAGGGCGGCCTTGGCGCGGGTCACGTTGTCGCCGCTGCCCAGCAGAACCCAAGGGAAGGTGGCGGGCTGCGAGGGGTCAGCCTCGACGGCGTTGTCGACGACCTTCCAGGAGTGAGCGTCGAGGGATTCGCTGGGGTCGTCTGTGATGAGCGGAAGCGAGGTCGCTCCGTTGCCGACGGCTCGGGACTCTTCCGAAACCGGTCGGGGCGGAATTTGCTGGCCTGCGTGGTCCACTGTCACCTGGTAGTCGTTCCGAAGACGACGGAAGAACGCGCCGTTGTCAGAAACGGCGTGGTGCAGGTGTCGCGGGACTTCCACCGTCTCGCCCTGCTGGTCCTTGAGCATGCCCAAGATGTGCTCCTTGGCGGCCTCGACAGCGTCGCTGGCACCCTTGAGTTTGACGTCGGAACGACCCGAGCCCTGCTTGGGAATATCCAGAGTCACATTGAATTGCGACTCGATTCCACGGCGGGTATCACCACCCCGACCGATGAGCATACGGTGTTGCGCGGGCGGAATCTCAACATTAGCTGTCACCTGGTCTTCCCGCTCCTTGACAAAGGCCTCGATCGTGGCAATGATGTTCTCAACCACATTGCTGTTACCCTCTAGTCGGATCGTAGACTCGGTGCTGTCAGGGCGCGGGAACTTGACCAGTCGAGCCGCGCTGCCATCAGTAGGGCCACCAGCGTCAGCAACAATCTTGCGGATGTTTGCACCTGCACATAACAAAGAATCGATCGTTAGCTTACTGTAGACGAAAAAATTCAACTGGAACAAAGAATTAAAACTTACCACCACCACCAATCAGAGCCTTGTGGTACTTCTTGTCCACGTCAATGGTCTTGGTAATCGTAGAGTCAAACTCCGATGCACGCTGCTGCAGGAATTTCTTTGCTTCATCAACCTGCTGCTTGGTACCCTTGACCTTAATCTGCACGCGGCCAGATGCATCTGGTGCATCATTTGCTCCAGGAACATCAATCTGCGCTCCAGTGTCCGCGCGGAGACGGTCCATCTCACGCCCGCGCGCGCCAATGAGCGACGGAACCTGGCTTTGAGCCACAGACACCGACGTCAAGTACGAGTGGTCCACCACCCACTGCAAGAGACTGAGAATCTCGTCGCGGGCGGAATCGGCCCCCTTGCTCGGACCCTTCACGACCACTTCGTCAGAGCGAGCGGCGCGAGAACCACCAACTTCACTGGATGTCTCGGCCTGCGACTGGTCATCAGAGATCGTCGCCCGGGGGAACTGAACGCGAACAGCGTAACGGTCCTGGAGGCGGTTGACCTGGCTACCCTTCTGCCCAATCAACTCACGGTGATACTGGGCGGGAATCTTCAGGACATGCGTGGTCTCATCCTCCAGCTTCTTGCCGAGGTTGATTATCCGGATCTTAGCAGCATCGGCCTTAGCCTTGGGGCCCTTGACCTCAACCTTGCCACTGTCCACCTTGATGTCGACATCAAACTCATCGCGCAGCTTGTTGATGTTCTCGCCGCGCTTGCCAATGAGGAAGTTGGCGTACTTCTGCGGGAAGTCAAACGAGGTGGTGTATCCTCGCTCCAGGTCATCCTTCTCCTGCTCAACCACGAAGGCCTGCAGCGTGGAGATCAACTCGTCCACAGACCCAGAAGGACCACGTAGCGAAACGTCGCACGAAGCTCCAGTCCTGTCGCCAACGAGGGCGCGAATAGGAATGGAGTCCTCACCCTTAGCTTGTTGCTCACGCGCGATGAACTTTCGGACCTTCTCCTGGTACTTGGCAGGCACGCTGGCCGACTTGGCCACCACGTTGCTCTGGTCGCCCAAGGTGCCCATCAAGTAGTCATGCGCTTCTTGGAGGGCCTTCTCGAAGGCAGTAAGCTCAGCAGGGGCGGGCCGCTGGCGGGGGATCTCGAAGTTGGTAATGTTGGCCGACGGACCCTCGTAGACGAGCACAACCTCGGGGCTGTCGACATCTTCGGGAACCATCAGACGCACTCCGTAGTCATCTTGCAGTTTGGACACGCTCCGGGAGCTGAGGTAGGGGTGGAAGTAAGGGTCGATAGAGACGTGGCGGATCCTCGAGGGTGGGTGGGCTTGAACGAGGTTCATGATGTCGGAACGGGCACGGATGGTGTTCTTTCCGTCACGCGAGTACACCTCCCATGTCACGGGGCCATCAGACGTAGGAGGAAGAGCGATGCGGGCGTCGTGCATCCTCTCCAGCTCATTGATGATCTGACGCTGTCTCAGGTACCGGGTGAGAGCACGAGCGTGCGCATGAGGTCCGGCAGGAGCGCCGGCGTGCTGACGGGACAAGTCAATGCTTGCCATCTGCATGCTCGTCGCCTGATCCATGGCCCGGTTGATACCTGCCTCGATAGAGTCTAATGGACCCGTAACGGTGAGAAATTCACTCTCATCGGAAGGTGGAGGCAACACGATCGCACAGCCCGTCTCGGCAAGGAACTCGTGCAGAGCGTCATCTCGGTCACCCAAAATGAACTGATGCTGACCACGGTTGATCGCCAGCTCGCGAAGGGTCAACTGGCGCTGCAACTCACTGGCCAGTCGTTCAACTTCAGCACGGGCCTCCTGGGCCGCCGTGCGCTCTCCGGAGATAAGAATAGCCTTGTCGGGGACTGCCACGAATTGCACCTGGCCCGGAACCGCCTCCTGGGGTGGAGGCTGGCTTTGCCAGGTGTCGTAGCGAGGCACGTGAATCTGAGCGCTGGTGCGCTCTTCAATTCCTCGGAGGTTGGAGTTGTGAGCACCCGCGATGAAAGGGAAGAACTCTGGCGGGATCGACTTGACTCGCAAGCTAATGTTGGAGGCCCGTTCCTTCACAATTGCCTCGATTTCCCGACGAGCCATCTCCGCGGCGACGGCATCTCCTTCGATCAACACGTCAATGGTGTCGCTATCATCGTCTTCGCCTCCAGCGGCGGGATCGTCGACTCGGGGAACTTGGACACGCGCACCGGTGCGCTGTTGAATGTCCTGAACCACGGCGCCTTGTCTACCAATGATGTGCGGACGAGCAGAAGTCGGGATTGGGACACGGACGGATTGCTTGAAAACAAAGTTGGTTAATTACAGAGTCCCCCAATGATGTATATTAGAGAACGTACCTTGGACCCAACTTGCTGCGCAACATCCTTCAGGGCCTGTCTGACAGCATCCACGGAGCCCTTACCCTCAAAAATGATCGACCCTCCGGGTCCACCCCGCATGTCAACATTGGCCTTTGAACGCTTGGAGATGTCACGGAGGATGTCGCGGAGAGGCTTCTTGAGTTGACCCCGAGGAAGCATCTGAGAAGGTGCAAGCCGGAGCTGCTCCATGTGCTTTCCAGGAAGACTCATGATCCTAGGCACATCAGAAGGACCAAACCCGCCAGCTATTGAGATCCGTTTGGTCAGCGTTCAAATCATGTTTGCATTGCATAGTAGAGAAAAACTTACGGGCCTTGGAACCGTTAGCAACCGCAGCAGCAGCCGATGGTTTAGCACCCCAGGTGGCCGCGGCCGGAGTCGTGGGCTTGGGACCACTTCCCAAGGCGGGGAACAATTCCTCTGATTGTACGTCAAGAGCGGGGGCATTCCTGGGAGCGGGCTTAAAAGCAGGCTTGGGGGTCGGAGCCGGGGCAGCTTGGACAGGTGTCGGAGCGGCTGCCAGAGCGTCTGGCTTGCTCTCGTTCACCAACGACGACGGAGGAGAGTGTTGGATATCCTCCTCATCCGGGACCACTTCAACAGTTGCCTTGTGTGCGGCGTCCTTCTCATGTTTTTCCTCCAGCATAGCGGCCAGGGACTTGTTCCCATTGACGTTGGAAGCTTCAGCAGCCATGACGAGGGGAATACCAGGAGCAACCAAACGGATCGATTTCGGGAAGACTCAATTGGATCGGATGGAAGACCCAAAATTCCTGTATAGTCTACGAAATGAATTAGTACCGGACAATTCAGCGGAGGTGTTGGGGAATCTGGACATACCCAACTGTTTCACGGAAAATCAATCAACTCACTGAATTGCTTCGGAGAGTTTCTTTACCGCGATGAGACGTGGGAAAGGGATTATAGAAAATAGAACGACGAATAAAACAAGGTCGAACGCTCTGCTAATACTCACAAGCAAACACACGAGTGGGAAAATGAACAGAAGGAACCCGAGTTCGAGAGAAATATAGGAACGGGATAAATAGAAGAGAAGAGAGGAGGAGGAAAGAAGAAGAAGAAGAGAGAGGAGTGAGAGGGGAGAACAGCTAAGCTGGGAGGGCAATTGGGGGA